ATCATTACTTGTCTTAAACCTCAACCTAAACCTTGTCCTGTTTGTGTTGTACCTCTTTCAATGTATCATTACCGTTGGAAGATTTAACACCAGCTATGTTTTTAATGCAAAATAAAGACTAAATATCGTTAAACTCGTGTATATATTTTCATCAGGAGAGTGTATATTTATGAATGCATTTTCTATAACATAAATGATACGGAGTGTAATTAATTTGAACATTGTTTTGTTTCTTTAGGAGGGTCAGTATTTTACCAAAGTATTGGATATTAAATAGCTCGGTAGAACTGTAATGCTAATTGTACAATACCAAAACCAATCCATAATCAACTTCCTGTAAATATTTACAGTAGCATCTTGATTCATGACTAGCCAGGTTAGGTAGGAAAGGTCGGACTATACAGAAAACAGTCAACACTACTGTTCACATGAAGTCATTAAATGACAATGTCTCCATTGTAAAACACATTATAGAAATTCAGTAATATATGAAAATTAGTTCTTCTATGCAAACAAGTATTTTTTATTTCCCTAAGCCATCGTAGTATAAAATAACTGACACCACCATTGTATCAGTAAAATATATGATGAAATGGTAAATGTCCACACAGTCATAAGTTTCTGCTTCCATCACAATGGCACAGGTATGAGGAGTTGGCGAACTGTTTGGTACTTCTAGTGGTATGCAGAATGCTAAAAGAATCAACTAGTACAGTCAATTGCAGGAGCCTAAAACCTGGCGCACATCTTCAGAGGGACACATCATGGGTGGCCAAAGTGAAATAAAACAATTTTACACGATGGCCACAGAAATGGTCGGGAAACACAGAAAATCACTTGAAACTGATAATCAATACACTACTATACTACCTGACTCAAAAATCATATAGTACAACCCATTTTACTACAACAAATGTCTACTAATACAAAACGTGATAACCATCATGTCTATGCAATGTGAAAAAATCACACTAGGAGCATCTTTAAAAAATTTAACAAACCGTATATTTTTTTTCCTATCGGAACCTTTTTGCGAGCATATTTAATATACAGATTAATGAGTGTACTGCATAGAACATATATATATTATAGTACGCAGTATCAATTTGTACTATATAGTATAGAGTTAAAAAATATCAAAAGCTGCACTAGGTCCCCGAAAAATATAAAAGAGGTCTTAGTGGGAACAATTTACTTATAATTTAAAATCGGGCTTAGATCTGAAACAGATTGAATTATGAATAATGAGTTATAACTATTGCTTAAAATTTAAAAAAATCTATTGGCGGTTTATAAATTATATGTTACTACTACTAAGCGAAATGTTAAATGTATAGTGTTTTTATTATTAATAAATGCAGTAATCGTAATACAGTCTCCTTTTATTTACAGATTTCAGTTATTAAACCATTCTAAAAACTCTTAATTTGCATGTTTCTTTACGTGGTTACGTCCCTGAAGGGTAATATGTAATTAACTCTTAACTCCTGATTATTTTTTAAATAATTTATTTTAATTTATAGAGTTGTCTCAATATTATACTCGTAACCCATGGACACGTATCAATATCCAACCAATATTGAACAAGTTGACTTTATTATTGTTGATCTTATTAGGTGTGGAGAACCATTTATGAAAATCTATTATAAATTTGATCACCAGAAAAATTGCATTTATGCTATATTAAATTTACTGAAAAGCCACACATTTTCTGGTGGATCCCCAGTCAATCACCTAACTATTGATACAAAAATAAAAGTTTGTTTAAAGTCTTGATAGTACATTTCCAATCGTAAGATCGATTTATTGAATGGAATATAGTTCACATAGCTTAGTCTTATCACAGGAAGTCCGTTTTCTGATCGGTTTAAGTTTCACTTGGATAAAGAACAAAATTAATGTTGTACAAAGAAGTTAAACTAATAATTATTAATATAAATAAAAATAAAATATTAAATACTAAACAAATTTTGTTTACTATTTATTGTCAATACTGTGTCTTACTACTCAATTCCAAAGCTAGAGTCTATAATATTAGGATTCAATCCTTTAGGTAGAAATAGCAAAGAAGTCAAATAAACCAAGAGGATGGTGAAATAGACATAACTTAAACCTTCAGTTCTAATGAAAGATTCATGTTGCAGTAAGTCATTTTTTATGACACGGCTTCCATCTGGGAAGGGAGATTATCTCCATTACAGTAAACATCCTGTTCTCCCTCTTTTGGTCCTTACACCTAAGAAGTCTCAATTTTGTTTTCTGTACAAGTTAGACAAAAAGGTGACAATAAAGGAATAATGTGGCTTCGTTCAATTATAAATTCACATATAAAAATAAAAATCTTGTTCAACATAAAAAAATGTTATAAATAAAAATGATTCAGTAGTAAAATTGTTTCTCCACTTTAAAACTGTTCCTGAAACTATTTTTAATTCTCTATTCAAAACTGCAATTGACCTAATTGAGGTGTGGTACACATAATACAAAAGAGTTAATAAAATATTTGAGCTAAACCACGGCCACCTTTAAATCCAGGCCGCGGCATGTGTTGAATTGGCAACGTCGCAAGTAGTACTGCTAGACGTCCCATAAGATAACATAACATGACAGGTGACACCAGCTTATTTAATCGTGTATTATTCATTTAAATTTAAATTGATGAATTTAAATTTATTGACAGATTGAAAATAATACACATAATGTTCTAAATAAAACATTATAAATTTAAAAATATATTTCTGTACATTTAAAATGGAGTGAATATTTTTACATAACGTAACCAAGCTTTCGTAAAAAGTACACAAATCCTCATTAGCTGCCTGTACAAACAAAACAACCCTACTGACTGTGTTGCCACTTCGAGCGGCCTGCAACGATATAAACCGTTGGCGGCCTGTGGCCGTGAAACCAATAGAGCAACAATGTCCATGGAGCATATTTTATATAAAAATATCACTTTTCCATTTAATACATGTACTAATATATTTCAACTGTAAAAAAAACTCCTTTTTCATGTTAATACCCCTGTAATAAAAATTTTATAAATTTAAAATACTGTGTGATTATTACGGATAATTAACACCATACATGCAAAACAAAAATAACGTAAAAACAGGCCAATTTAAAATAAAAGTAGATTCTGTTACAAAGATTTATAAATTTATGAATATGCGTTATTGAACATATGACATTAAAACATTTATGACAAATATAACATTAAAAAGATTATCATTCAAAACAACTCATAACCGATGGTTGGTCCACGAGGTGCAGAGAATATTTTCATCTGTTTTGATGTAATGAAAAAATAAGAACATAAAACACAACTCCAATTTACAACAAAGTAGATTTTGTTACAAAGATTTATATTATTTATTTGAATATACGTTGTTTGAACATAGAACATTAAAACATTTAAAACATTTATGACGAATATAAAATTAAAAAGATTAACATTTAAAACAACTGATAACCGATGGTTGGTCTCACGAGGTGCAGAGAATATTTCATCTGTTTTGATGTAATGAAAAATTAAGAACATAAAACACAATTATAAACACATATGAGTAAATGAGGATCAAAACGTAATCGTGAAACAATTAATGGTGAAAATTTTATACAGGAGCAAACATTCTGTTAGGTGTAACCTAATGGGATATCCAACTAAAAGAGAAATACAATCTATTACTAAAACTCTGATCCTACATTTACCTGCTAAACATTTTCAAGTGAACAATTTATAATTCAGTTACCAAAATATTTCTTGGTTAAGAGTGTTAACAAAATGATACATAAGCATATTGGTAACTTACATGTTTACAGGCCAAATATAGAAGTATTATCATTTTTTTTAAT